CGGCCATGCTGCGTCTGTGGGAAAGAGCAAAGCATGAGTGGAGAGGTGGCAATAGACACTCTGAAGCGCATGGCTTGCTCGGCTCTCCATCCGGGTCGAGGAGGAAGCAGCAGTAAATGGCGGCCTGCAGGGAGGGAGAGGGCTGGCCAGGTTTTTGTATGCGTCCCCCCCCCCCAACACACACACACACCTTCCAGCCCTTATAAAAACAACAAACACACACAGCCACATTCCACACAAAACTGCACAACCAGGGCCTTGTCAGAGATGATGAAAAACAGACTGAAAAAATGACCGGACTAAGGGGGGAAAAGGGAAAAGGGGAGAATGGGCCCAGCTGCAAAATCAAATCACCTCTTTTCCTTTTATAGGAATATGCACTTCCTCCCCCACCCACCCCTTCCAGGCATCCCAAGTCTGAAGGCAAAAGAGAGAGTGCCCTTAGAAAAGGAAACCCCCCACACCTTTCTTGGCACCCCACCCAAGGCAAAAGTCTGGGGGGCAGAAAAGAGTCCCCCTTTCTTGGCATATCCGCTAAAGGAAAGTCAGGAGAGGAGAAGGAATTTGACAAGGGAGCCCCCTCCCACCTTAATGGGATCCCCTGAAGGGGCATCTCCCCCCTAAAGACAAAACTGGGGAGGACACAAGGGAGCCCCCAAAAGGGACGGCTCCCTTTCTCGGCATTCCCCGCCCCCACCAAGGTAAAAATCTGAAGGGTAGAAGAGTCCCCCTTTCTTGGGATCTCCCCAAAGTAAAGTCTGGGGGATTAGAAGACAGATTTCCCTTACGAGGGGGGGGGGGGTCCCCAGCTTTCAAGGCAAAATGCCGAGGGAGGGGGCAGAAGAGAGCTCCCCCAAAGGCAGCTCCCCCACCTTTCTTGGGACCCCTTGAATGAAGAAATCGGGACTGGGGGGGAGGAGGCAAAACAGAGAGCCCCCCCCCTCCAGAAGTAGGGTGCCCCCTCCCACCTTTCTTGGTATTCTCCCCCAAGTAAAAAGTCTGGGGGGGGGATCAATAAATAAGAGCCCCCGCCCCCAAAAGAGCACCTTCTTCCACCATATAAGGAAACAGTCTGGAAGGGGTAGAAGAGAGACCCCCCCCCCAAAAAGCGCCCCTCCTTATCTTTTTAGGCCTCTCCCCTTTTAAAGGGAGGGGGGAAAAAACCACATGGAGGCTGAAGACTCCCCCCTCCCCGAAAGGCGCGCCCTTTTTTCCCCAGGATCCCCCTCCATCCACCCGCCCCCCCCTCCCGACCCCTTTTTTCGACTCACCTCCGAAGAAAAGAGATCGAGCTGCGTTTGGGCGCCCATTTCCTCCCCACTCCCCGCGCATGCGCACAACGCCCTCCTCGCGTTCTCTCTCTCTCTCTCTCTCTCTCCCCCCCCCACCAGCCGCCGCCAACGGCCTCCCGCCAACCGCCGTCTCTCGCCCACCCGCCCCGCGCGTGCGCCTCAGGGCCCCCTCCCTTCTTTCCTCGTGGCCGTGTGTGTGTGGGGGGTTATCCGGAAGGCCTTTCCCGCCCTTTTGGGGGGGGGGGGGCGGGTGGAGGTGGGGGGGGTGAGGAAAAGAAATGAGGAGAGGCAGGCCTCGCCGTTCCCCGCGAGGTGGGCGAGCCCGTCCGCGGCCTTCCTTATTCCTCGCTTTCGCCGGGCGGGTTACCTTCTCGGGACGTCTCGTTTGCTTGCTTTGCCTTCCCTTCCCTTCCCTTCTTTCTCCGCTGGCGGTTGCCGCTGTTACTGAGGGGAAGCGGGCGGGCGGGCTGCGAAGGAAGATGGCGGAAGCGCGCTAGTTCAAATCGCCCTGAAAGAACCAGCAGCAGCAGCGGAGGACCGGGAGCGAGCACGCCGGTCACGTTAGTCGCGCGGGGAATTAACCAATCAGAGAGAGGGGCTTAGCGTCACGCCTGCGTAGTGGGAATGCCTCGGAGAACTTGGCCCAGGCTCACTTCTTTTTCTTTTTTCCTTTTGCTCTCTCGCTGCGCAGAAACCCCCCCCCACCGCCTTTCTCGACTGAGAGAGTGAATGCGCGCGCCTTCTCCGATAACTCCGCCCACCCGGGTTGGGGTGCGCCTGCGCGGTGGCGTGCGGGCGTTCTGGCGCGAAAAGGGAACGTTTTTCAGCCCCCACCCCCCGAGCGCGCTACTATTTTAGATTTAATATGCTGCCCAAAAGGAGGAAAATAATCGTAATCATAATATTTTTTTAAAAAAAAAAACCAGCAATGCAAAGGGCGATGCAAAATGCCTTGGGCATCAGCATGGTGCTTCTTTCTTGCCACCTTGTCTGATTGCAAAATGAGGCTTAGCTTGCCTTGGGATGGAAGATGGGCTATGTAGTCCAGCATTGCAAAGTTAGGAAACAGAGGGACTTGGGGGAGGGGCTGCTCTTTTCCCATTCGTGGGGTCTTTTCCCCATTCATGGGGCCTGGGAACCAATCCCGCGTGGGTGCCTGAAAACAACACCTTTTTTTAAAATAATTTTATTTGTAATTTTTTTCTTTAACATCCATAAGTGCTTAGTGGACAGTCAATATATTTTGCATACAATTCTATAGGGATATTACCATTTAGATATACATAATACTTTTTCAGCTGCTAACATTTGTGTATGCATAGTAATCGTACTCTGTTCTATTATAATTCACTATACATAATATTTCCCCAAATTCTACTTTCTACTTTTTTTCTAATGCTTATTAGATTAACCACCATGTTAAAAAGTATTCTATGTCAGGACAAGAAGCAGTGGGTGGAAATTAATAAAGGAGAGAAGCAACTTAGAACTAAGGAGAAGTGAGAACAATTAACCAGTGGAAAAACTTGCCTCCAGAACTCCATCACTGGAAGTTTTTAAGGAAAGATTGGACAACCATTGGCCCGAAATAATAGAAGGTTTCCTGCCTAAATGAGGTTGGACTAGAAGACCTCCAAGATCCCTTCCATTTCTGTTATTTTATTCAATTCTATTCATCATCTCTTGCCCTGGGGGAACTTAGGATGGGTACTCTAGAGATCCAACAGCAAGAGACAGATGCTGTGGCAAGGGAAATATTTAGATTAAATAAAAATGACAAAAGGAATTACAAGATACCAGAGGTAAAGCAGGACAGATTCACCAAAAAGCTAATAAGTGTTGAAATTTTAAAAAAGGCAAAACTCTCAATCTGTTGGCACCCAAGATCATAATTTATTCTCAACAATTAAAATGTTTCTTTCTGGAAATGCCTCAGTTGGCCTCTAGAGGTCAGAAAGGAAGTTTGCATTTTATTTCATTCCATTTCTGTACATTGTTCTAAAAGCCTTGAAATCATTTATGTTTCTCTTCTAACTTTGTCCTCAGGATCAGTCCATTAAAATGTAAATATTTTCTGCTGTGGCAAGGCACCAATCCTGTTACAGGTAGTCCTTGACTTAACAGATCATTTAGCGAGCAAAGTTACAACGGCACTGAAAATAAGTGACTTATGACCACTTTTCACAGTTACAACCATTGCAGCATCCCTATAATCATCATCATCTTTTAATGACCCCATAATCCATTGTGGAGTGGAGTCTGGGCAATTGAATGGAGCTAGAAGAAATTTTAATGGCCAGATGCCCTTCCTGTCACCAATGAGGAGTTTTGTTCAGCAGATAAATTCTCAGTGTGCCCAGAGAGAGAAATATCCAATCAGTGGAGCAGTCAGATCACTTAACAACAGCGCTCCTAACTTCACAACTGTAGTAATTCATTTAACAACTGTGACAAGAAAGGTCGTAAAATGGGGCAAAACTCACTTAACAACTGTCTCACTTAACAATGGAAATTTTGGGCTTCGTTGTCGTATGTCGAGAACTTCCTTTATTTGATTTTTTTTGACAATAAAGATGCAGTTTTAAAAAGAGCAACTTTCACGGGTAGCCTTATTTTTTTCCTCACTGCTTCTGATTTCTTTACTAGAAATGAGGAAAGAAACATTCATTGAAAGCATCTGTTTGGCTTTGCTAAATGTCAACTCCAAATCTATGTTGAATAAAGAGATAGAAAAGGAAGTTTAAAAAAATGCAAGGAGTGGAGAAGGGGTGAAAAAATCCCACACACCTAAGTCATAACATGAATATTTTTATTTATTCAGTTTTTATGCCACCTATCTCACTGATAACAGCCACTCTGGTTGTCTTACAACATGATAAAAAAATTAAAAGCCTCCTACAAGATGATTAAAATTAGAGGAATTAAAGTAGAAAAGCTAAAAAATAATAATAAAATGAGCATTCAATGTTTTTTAAATTTGAAATGTTGAATTTTTTAAAAAGCATCTCTAATATTCTACTAAGGATTTTAATATAGCCTCTTTAGCCACACCCTCTTGGCCTGGACTAAATAATAAATTTGCATAGCTCCGCCTTTCTAGTGTAGGCGGCCACGCCCCATCCGTTGGTCTCTGTACATCTCTAGCATTTCACAATTGATATGAACTTCGCCTGGATAGAACACATATTTGCATAGCCCCGCCCTTTCTTTTTTTTTAAATGCCACAGCCCCACCCTTGGTCCCTGTTGTAATATTCTGCATAGGATCTTCATTCCCCCCCCCCCCCCCCCCCCGCTTAACTTGGACCAGACGTCAAATTTGCATAGCTCCGCCCTTCTTTGTAAGTGGCCCCATCCCTTCCCTTTGGTCCCTCAGTGATATTCCACGAAGAGGGTGGGGCTCTGTTGCCCCTCCCTCTTCGCTTGGACACAGACTCCAAATTTGCATAGCTCCGCCCTTCCTTTGTAAGCGGCCTCACCCCTCCCTCGGTCCCTCTGCCCGCTGGGTTCTTCGGCTTTCTAACGGGAGGAGACGCCTGCGCCTGCGCACTGGGCGGCGGCCGGGCAGTGGTTGCCCTGGCATCAGCGAGCGGGGAGGCGGCGGCCGCGCTGTGCCGCCGCTGGAGCCTCCCGGAGCCGGGAGCCGCCTGCGGTGGGCAAGGAGCAGCAGAAACGCCCGGGGAGAACCGGCTGGAGAAGCCCCGCCAGGATGAGGGACCGTCTGGCCGAGCTGACATCGGTGAGAAACTGAGGAGGAGGAGGAGGAGGCGGCGGCGGCGGCGGAGGGAGGGTAACCCCTGGGCAGAAACAGCCCCCACGGGGGGGGGGGGGAGGGAGGCCAATTAAAGGATGCGCGGCAGCATCCTTGCCTCCTTCTGCAACCTGGCGCCCGTCGCAAAGGAGATGGGCTCCGTCTCCCGGAGGATGGAGAAGACGGGACGATGGAGGTGCTAGTCGCACGCCTTCAGAAGAAGAGCCGCTTTCTACAACCCCATCGCCTTTATGTTATTTATAAATTAAATTTATATGCCGCCCATCCCGATCCCTAGGTGGCATGACGTTATCTAGCCCAGGTGTGTTTTTGTGCCAGTGAAGCTTTCTGAATTTTTTTTAAAATTTATCGCCCAAAGGCGTTGGTCGCCCTCAGCTCAGAGCAGCCTTTCGTTCAAATCAAATCAAATCAAATCAAATAATAATAACTTTAAAAAAAAAAAACAGCTGGGCAAAGCAAACATCCCCATTTCAAGGTTTAGGAATTTTGCTAGAGGTGCCTTTCTTACCGGAGGGTTGATTTCGGCAATCACCTTCCCTCTTGTTAACTCTTTTCCTTAAAAAAAAAAAATCTAAATTTTCTGCATGAAGTGTTTGCCTTTTTTGTTTTTGAAGCACTGTTTTCTGCTCCTAAAAGAAAACATTCGTTTGCTTTATTTTAAAATGGAGCAAAGCAAAGTTGCCTAACAAAATGCAAGTGTTTTGTGTCACAGTAACAGGCAATCTGTCCTTTCAGCAAAAAAGTTGTGTAAAGTGAACCCTTGTTTTGAAAACATTGCATTTTATTTTGCTACTTGCTGGGATGATACAAAGAATCAGGGTGAACAAACAACTCAGAACAAAATAAGGACACCTTTTCTGTCCCTTACAGCTGTGTTAGACTGATGGAAATTAGCAGTTTTAAAACCTTGGCTGTGGTAGATATTGGGCACCAATGGTGTGCATGTTATTTTAAAGAAAGCCTCTTGCTTCAGTGGTGTACAGATATTGGTCTGTGCCTGTATTTAATATGTCCACATTGCCAATTAATATTTCAATTGCAGTTTCAAACTTCTTTACCGGCTTTGAGTTCTCAAAAGAAGGAGGGATTGTGCCTTTAAAAGAACATTTATTTGAAGGTGTTCCTGCATGTATATATAGGTAGTCCTCAACTTAAGACCAAGATTTCTGTTAAGCAAGACATTTAAGTGAGTTTTGCTCCATTTTACGACCTTTCCTGCCACAGTTGTTAAGTGAATCTCTGCCAGAAGGGGATCACATGACCTCTGGGATTTTGCAACCATCATAAATACGAGCCCGTTGCCAAGCACCTGAATTTTGATCACATGACCGTGGGGATGCTGCAACGGTCATAAGTGCGAAAAACTGTCATAAGTTGCTTTTTTTCAATGCCTTTGTAACTTTGAACCGTCACTAAACAAACTGTTGTAAGTCAAGCACTGCCTATACAGTACATTTGTGCATACATCTGAATGCCTGCATCTATATGTAATACAGCCTCATTTCTGCATAATGTTTTGGTGGGTTTTTTTGAGGATTTGAGAAATTTCCCTGCCTTCCTTTTCCCAAGCCGTAATGAGAAAAAGATGACACGCACACCCTGAAAACACTGGCAATTAGATTTTTTTTTCCCTTTATTGAAAAAAATCTTAACGTGTCAACATTGTATCAAAACATAAAATACAAAAATATAAAGAAAAATAAAAAAATAATGGTAAAATAGGGGAGGAAAAGGAAGAAGAGAGAGAAAAGTGTAGAATATAGGGAGGCGGGGAGAAAAAAAGGCATTGATTCCTTTTGGTGTAATAAAATAAGGTAAATAGCATAAAACCTCAACTGGTTAACTTTTATGTAAGCAGAAGAATTCTCTGCAGAAATTTGGGCTATCCAGAAAGATTGTATTTTTAAAATTACTGTTTTAACTTTTTATGCGCGATAGGCGGCTTGTAGTTTTGTTGGAATGTTTACGTTGCTTTCATTTTGTGCTGTCCAAGGTAATTTTCAAGAACAACACCATCAGTATTCCTCTGACTCTTTTTTTTTTTTTTTTGGTATCGTCACAACTGGACATTTGAGTGTGTCTGTGTGCTTGTGATATGTTTTTCCTTCCTCTCATTCTTATCTCTTCCTGAGGCAACAAAGAAGCTTTAAAAGGAAAAGGAAGGTGGTGGGAATAAAGAGCCTTTTGCTTAACCTCTTTCAACACAAGAAAAATGGGTTATTATATTGGATTCCACAATGTATTAACAATTAACACACCTTGAGCTGTATTCAGTGTTCAGAATTTCACCGCGAGTTGGTCACGCTTGCTTTAAAAAAACATATATGGGAAAAATAAAACGCTTTCTGTGTTTTTTTTCCTTTGAAGACCTTTCGTTTCTCATCCAAGAAGCTTCTCCAGTTCTGACTGAAAGTGAAGAAGAACTGAAGAAGCTTCCTGGATGAGAAGCGAAATGCCTTCAAGGAAAAACAAATTCCAGTTGGCTTTTGAGAAAGCACTTTTGGGACAACCATGACCTGCATGACAGAGTATTGGGGATCTCCATAATCTCCATAAATAAATCCCAGATTCACTTTCTCGGGTCATTGAGAAAGACGGGAGGACTTGTTGGGGTTTAGATAAGTTTTTTCTTCTAATTGATGTTCTTCTAAAAGCAAACGTGTCCAGCTCAAAAGTGAAATTCTGGACCAGGTGTGCAATTGTGAAAGCATCCCACCGATTTTAGCAAGTTTTGTCTCCCAGCAGGCACGCGCCAGGTTGAACTTTTAACGAAATAGCTAGGAAAGGTTTCTTTAATTGGTGGGGGAGAAAGCTTAATTTATTCTCCCGAGGATCACTTAGGAAAGTTTTTGGTGCACAAATATTTCCATTGTGTGTCTGTTCCTACTTGAAAAGCTTCTCCTTTGTCTTATGAATGAGTCATAAGAAGGAGAAGACGCAGAGGACAGCGAATTCATGAATGACATTTTTGTCACCAATATTTTAACCGGAGGAAAAAGGCCTCAATTATAATTTTATTAAGGAAACAAGCTGTTAGTGCAAAGGGAGAAAAGGTGGCGTTGAGCTGAGCTTCCAATCTTTACTAGGCTAGCTTGTGTTACAAGCCATAACCCTGAATCATTAACCAGAAAAGAGCTGGAAGGGACCTTGGAGGTCTTCTAGTCCAGCCCCCCGTTCAAGCAGGAGACCCTATATACCATTTCAGACAAGTGGCTGTCCAGTCTTTCCTTAAAAACCTCCAGTGATGAAGCACGCACAACTTCTGAAGGCAACTTCTGTTCCACCGGTTAATTGTCCTCCCTGTGAGGAAGTTTCTCCCTTCATTCTAGGTTGCTTCTCTTTTTGGTTAATTTCCATCTATTGTTTCTCGTCCTGCTTTCTCCTAACGGGGAATTACCTTAACAAGGGTTGTATTTGCTTTTTTGGCTGCTGCTGCTGCGCACGGCTGGCTCGTGTTTAAGGGATCGTCCACCAGGGCTCCAAGGTCCCCCTCACAGTTACTGTTTCGGAGCTCGGTTTCTCCCCTAAAATGCCCTTGTAGCTTTTGAAAGGGGTTATTCCCACAGTTGAAATGTTTCTGCTTCTTTTAGCGCACTCAGAACGAAGATGGAGAAGCCACAGTTGTCGTCGAAAGCGACCATTACATGGAAGACTTCTTCCTACAGGTAAAAAAACCTACGCCGGAAGCAACTTTCTTAGTGCAATCCCTGACATGCGGCCACAACTGAGCCCCACGCGGGACAGCGTGAGTTTCGCCCCATCTTACAAGCTTTCTCGCCCCAGTTGTTAACCGCTGCAGGCATTAAGCGAGTGACCCAGTTGCCCAGCGAATCGGGCTTCCCATTTTAACTTGGCTTGTCGCAAAAGAGGAATCGCGCGAAGTCCCGGGGACACAGCGACCGTCATAAATACAAGACAGTTGCCAAACGTCCAAATTTTGATCGCCTGACTGTGGCGGGGGGGGGCGGGGAGGCTGCAACGGTGGTAAGCGTGAAAAATGGTCCTGAGTTACTATTTTTTTTCAGCGCTGATGTAACTTCGAACGGTCACTAAATGGAAATTGAGGGCTACCTGCAATTTTTACCCTTTTTGTGGTCTAGTTGGCCTCCAAAACATTCGGTTTCTTCCAAGCAGGCACCTTTTCTCAGGAAAATAGGAGAAATACAGGTCGTCCTCAATGACCACATTCGAGCCCAGAATTTCTGCTGCTTAAGTGAGATATTTGTTGTTAAGTGAGTTTTGCCCCGTTCTACGACTTTTCCTGCCACTGTCAGGGCTCCGGCAGTGACCCCCATTTTAAATCATGAGTCTCTAGCCAGATTTTCAAAGCTGAAAGAAAATTTATTAGGAGTAAACATGCCAAAGCTGCCTGGGTGTAGCCGACTCTGAAACACATCATTCATGGTCACCCTTGACCCTGGTTTTCCCTCCACCCTCTGGGTGTATCATAATTCATATTCTCCAATGGGACACCTCCATAGCCAAGAGTCAATCATGCTTTCCAGTTAGAGTTTTGCCCAACAGAAACTTCGGTCGCCTAGTTTACTATCTTTGAAAACATTTGTGGAATGCAGTTTCGGGTTCCAAGCTGCCGCACCGCTCCCCCTTTCTCCCTTTCTGTTGGCCACTCTAAAAAGACCAGAGAAACATTTTATGAGTTGACAGCCACATCGGTTACGCGAATCCCTGCAGTTCTTAAGTTAATAAGACGGCCGAGAAATGAATCTGGTCTCCCCCCCCCCACATCATCTCTGCTTGTCAAAAGGTCGCAAAAGGGAGGGAATCGCGTAACTCTGGGACACGGCGACCGTCCTAAAAGTGAGTCAGTTGTCAAGCGTCCGAATTTAAAGGTCGTAAGTGCGAAAAAGGATCCTACGTCCCTTTTTTTTCCAGCGTCGTCGTAGCCTCAAAAACGGTCACTAAATGAACTGTTGTAAGTCAAGGACTACCCTGTAGTGGCTTTGCCTTGGATTTTCCTAGAGGCAAATAGCACTCTAGACTCCCGAGCAGCAGAAGCTACATTCAGGTGTGTTTGGCGGGATTCCCCCGAGCTTTGTAATCCCTCGTGGGTGCCAAACAAGGGTCACACGTGGCTTCCCACGCTTTAGGGACCGTCCGCAATGTTTGTCTTCCCCCAAGAAATTCCTCTCTCTGCTCGGTGACACGACAGGGTTGCCATCCAACTTTTCTCCACCTTAAGTACAGAATCGTGTTTGCTATGGGCTAGTCCTCGACTTATGACCACAATTGAGCCCCCAAGTTCTGTGTTTCCCTCCCCCCAGAGGCAATTGGACTTCCTTGTTTTGTCTTTTGAAGACGTTTTGCTTCTCCTCCCAGAAGCTTCTTCAGCTCTGACCTGGATGGTGGGGAAAATGGAAGGATTTGCACCCCTTGCAGACAGCCGCTCATTTGCATCCTTTTGGAGGGTCGTCGAGGCCACTTGAAGCACAAAAGGCCCTCTAAAAGGAGGCAAATGACCAGCTGTCTGCAAGGAATATCAATCCTCCAGTGCCCCACTATCCTGTCAGAACTGAAGAAGCTTCTTGGATAAGAAGCGAAACATCTTCAAACAAAGGAAAAACATGAAAGCCCAATTGCCTCCTGAAAAAGCACCGTTGGGACAACCATGACCTGGAAGGCTGAGAATCTCTATAGACCAACAGTTCTGTGGTTTGAGCGAGCCAGTTGCTAAGCGATTTTTTGCCCCGTTTTGTGACCTTCCTTGGCGTGGCTGCTAAGTGAATCACTGCGGTTGTTAAGTTAGTGACACGGTTGTTGTGAAGGCTTCCCCGTTGCCTTTGCTTAGCGGTGTCACGGGGACACTGCCGCCGTCGTAAATACAAGCCAGTTGCCAAGCCTCTGAATTGTTTTGATCTGGGGATGTTGCAAGGGTTGTAAGTGTGAAAAAGCCCCTTTTTTTTCAGCGCCGTTGTAACTTCAAACGGTCACTAAATGAAGTGTTGCATGTCAAGGACTGCTTGCGTTTATGACTGATTGGTTGAGTCTCCTTGGATGCCGCCTACCCTTTACAACAGGGTGCTAACAACCTGTAGCTTTAAACCTGTTTCCTGTTGCTGTTTTTTCCTCCTGTTCCGAAGGTTGAGGAAGTTCGGAAGTATATCTCAAAAATCTCAGATGTTGTAGAAGAAGTGAGGAAGAAACACAGTGTTATCCTCTCGGCCACGCATCCAAAAGATAGTAAGTTTTTCCGTCTCTGTGCAACTTTTCAAATATGGGTGGCTGAGGTTACAGAATGACAGAATAACAGAGTTGGCAGGGGACCTCAAAGGTCTTCTAGTCCGACCCCCTGTTCAGGCAGGAGGCCCTTTGCAATTCCAGACCAAATGGCTGTACAACCTCTTCTTTAAAAGTTCCAGTTTTTTAAAAAAAACACTTTTTAAAAACCTCTACGCTGCATGGAAAGTCACAGTGAGTGGCTTATAGCATCTGTTAGAGCTAGCGTCTTTTTTTGTTGTTGTTGTTAATCATCACAATTGTCATAATTTTACCAGTGGTGGGATTTACTACCGGTTCTGTGGGCGTGGCCATGTGACTGGGAGGGCATGGCTTTTTTGTCTTTTTGCAGCCCCCACCCGTTTTGGGGAGCTTCCTAGCCTCAGAGGAGCCTCGGGGGGGGGGGGGGCATTTTTGCCCCCCTAAGGCTCGGCTGGGGCCCTGGAAGGCAAAAAATGGGGGGGGGGGGGGGATGAGCTCCTCCCTCCATTTTTTGCCTTCCTGGGCTTCAGCAAGGGGGAACCCCGGCACAGCTGATCGTATCTACAGCTGATTGTCAGGAGGGGGGGGGAAGGAAAGAAATGCCTTAGGCGAATGTCAGGCGGGCGGGCGGGGTGTGTGAGCATCAGGCGGGAGGGCAACCGGGTGGGGGGCACGGCCAGCCAGAACTTACTAGCGGTTCAGCGACCCACGCCAAATTCTTGCTACCGGTTCGCCCGATCCGGTGTAAACCGGCTGAATACCACCACTGAATTTTACCGTAGACAACAAACACGTTCACTTTGCTACCTAGGATTCAGTTCTGTTGGCTTTGTAGTCTCGTTTATTTCTTCCCAGTTCCTAGTGCTGCATAATTTACCATTCATACAGTATTCATATGCATGGCGCCCAAAGGATATCCAAGGGATATAGCCAAAAGATCCAAAGGATATCCCATTGGCTAAAAGAAGAATTAACTGCAAAGAATGGTGTGAAAAGCAGCAAAACCACAATTGAGCAGATCACAATGCAATGAGCATCAAAGGCAACGGATGAAATTTGTGTTGCGTTGACATAAAGTCACCATCAATGACGTAAAATGACCAGTGGATAACATACTGTGCATTGAACAGATAATTGGGAGTAAATAACACCCACTCTCTTAACTGGGCTATTAAACTGAGATTTTGCTATATTTTGGGGTGGGGGAGGGTGTCTCCGATGAGTATATGCCCCCCCTCCAAAAAAAAAAAAAATCAAAATTTTGAACTATTTTTATACTATTCCACTCAAAGACTTGAAGGATGGTTCCTGATTCTGAGGGAGAGATTGAGCAGCTGACAGGGACTGGGAGTGTGGCTCTGGTGGCTGTGGAAGAAACTGGGGAAGGGCAAAGGCCGGCTGGGCATTCAGAGGAAGACTCAGGCCCACCCCCTTTTCATCCTAGGGCATGCAGGGAGGATCGGAGAAGGGAGCAACGTGGGTTACAGGGGAGGAAAAGGCCCTGATTCCCTTCATTAGCTGCAGCTGGAGAAACCGGATTTTAAAAGGGCGTTTGCACACAGCACCTCGCTGGAAGCAAAGCATGCATTATATTTGTATGTCAAGCCCTATCTGGGTTCTGGCATCCTCCCAACTGTGTGTGCTTTGTTATTTTTTGAAATCTTCAATTTCTTATCCCGCCCTGTCTGGTTTGTGTTGGTTTTTATTTATAATTTATATATACTTTGGGTTCGACTGAATTTCTTCCCTTGAAAGACTGTTCTTGGGAGAGTTTTTTTCTCCAGCCAAAGATAACTGGACATTGGGGGACAAGTTGGAGGAATTAAAGGGACTTTACCTACTTTTGTGACTTTGTTGCTTTTGTGCCACGCCCGGAGTCATCACAGAATGGAAGAATGGTGTTCCGTTAAAATAGCAAAGTCTTACTTCCAAGAAAAGAATTGGGAAGAATTAAAACATGGTATACCAAGGCTGCATCCCGCTAACTTGAGCCTTCAAAAATCCTCTTTGAAAATCCAATCCAAAAATTGTTTTCTCTAGCACTTATAATTGTCGGGTAATTTTAGCTCTCCGCTCTTGGATTCATGTATAAAATGAGCTAAATACAGTATACAGAGGTCTCCAGAGCCATGCCAGCCGTGCTTGGTACGGCTGTTTGACTGAGGGTTGTGAAGGGACAAACATAGTTTTTTTTAAAAAAAACGAACAGCTTCAACATTAAAATGGATGTTTGTGCTTCTTTTAAGTGTAATAGCACTGCTGTTGTTCTCCCGTTTAGTGAATTGAAATTGTAATTACCACATATAAAGCACTTTAAAATTTTGAAGGACTATGTAGGGGTTGCATGTTCAAATACTATCTCTTTCACCCCGAGGACAGAGGGAAAAGTCAGCACTGAGAATCTGTGCTGCTGAATTGATTAGCGGCTCAGCAGAGGAATCTACAATATTGGGAATATTTTATGTATCTATTTGTATTCCTGCCTTTATTATTTTTACAAATAAATCAAGGCGGTGAATATATCCAACCCACCCTCCTCCTCTTATTTTCCTCACCACAACAACCCTGTTAGGTGGGTTGAGCTGATAGAGGAAGTGGGCCAAAGTCACCCAGCTGGCTTTCATGCCTAAGGCAAAACTAGAACTCACGGTCTCCTAGTTGATTGGCCCAAAATCACCCAATCATCTTTCATGCCTAGGGTGGGACTAGAACTCATAGTCTCCTGCTGATTGGCCCAAAGCCATCCACCTGTCTTTCATGCATAAGGCAGGACTAGAACTCACAGTCTCCTAGTGATTGGCTCAGAATCGCCCAGCTGGCTTCTGTGGCTAAGGCAAGACTAGAACTCACAGTCCCACATTTTCTAGCCTGGTGCCTTAACCACTAAATCAAACTGACTCTCTAATAATCAGTCAAAGAGTAAAAAAATAAATAAATTGCAGTTCTGTTTCAGGATATGTAATACTCAGAGATATCCTTGCCTGTAAATTCTTGCTTTTGGTCAACTAATCGATGGCTGGAGTATATAGAGGATGCGTCGTGTGAACTCTAGTCGAAGAATCCTGGGAGATTAAAAAAAAAAGCTGAATTCTTTCAGACAGGAAAAAGGAAACAGGTTTTTTTGAGTTGCAAGAGCTGGTGGGTGGAAATCCTTTCTTTGATTTGTTCGTACCGGTGTCGAGAGCACCAGAGGATTATTACGAATTCCAGGCAGGATTTCAAGCTGTTTACAGAGGCAGCGTCCAAAGTTAATTTATTGATCAGGGCGCAACCATGATAACCCTTTTCAACTTCAGAATGTCAGACTCTTTGCCCTTCAATAGCGGAAGGAAAAGGAGATCAGAACTGAATGTGGGACATGGGACAAGATTTGGGTAGGGTCCTCATTTGCTCTTCACCCATGGAAGATAGCCTGGTACGAGCTTGGGTGACATGTCTAAGGGAAGGACAGACAGAGCCTGGTGGAGGAGTCAAGAGAGTCGTCAGCCTAGAGTTGTTACATTCCCACAAATGTTCTAGGGTCCAATTCTTCTTGAATTCCGTTGACTTATCTAGCGCCAATTTCAGGTTGACCCGATTCTTGTGTGGACTCTTGACCCCTGATGTTGTCCATCCTAGTTCAGACATTCCCTAATTCCAGGATCTTATGTAAGAAAATCGTTGAATGGTGTACGGTGGCCTAGAGGTGGAACTCTCACCTCACAATTAGGAGGCTGCGAGTTTGATCCTAGTCATAGAGGCAGATATTTCTCTCTGGGCATAATGAGAATTTATCTGCTGAATAAAATTCCGCATTGGTGACAAGAAGGGCATCCAGCCAGTAAACACAAGGGACTATGGGGTTGTTAAAAGATGATGATGATCACTGCGTATTAAACAGGAGGAGGACATCCACATGGGTAATGTTTTGTTTGGGCAACATTCTCTATCGTACTGAAGCAGAGTTCCCATTTCTCCTTTTGTTAAAGAAACGAAGGAAGAGCTCGAAGAACTGAACAAAGAAATCAGAAAAACAGCCAATATCATCCGCGCTAAATTGAAATGTGAGCATACCCTAACTGTGAGTTAAAATAAAAATGCCAAAGCAGTGGAGCATAACACCGTATAGAAATTTTTACAAAGGTGCCAGAAAAAAAAAAAAGATCTTTGCTACAGTTCTGTGTAGATTGTTCTGTGGACCACCTTCTATGTGCTTGCGCTGTGTGAAAGTTTGAAAAAAAAATCTTAATTGTCATTATTAATGCAAGACTTATCAGTGGGGCTAGTTAGTTTATATGTAATTAAGTGACTTGGTTTGGAGGATAAGGTCAACATTTACCAAGAATGCAGAGGTTTTCGGAAAAGCCTTGCTGGATGCAGAAGAAGTTGCTAAAGGCCTCTGCCAGCAAAAAGGAGGCTGCGGGCGAAGCACCCAAGTGAAGTGGATGACATCCCCCAAAAAAATAAAACCTGGTGCCTTTTTTGGTGGCAAAAAATATATATAAGACAGGGTCTTATTTTCGGGGAAACACTGGATGGATGGGTGGGTGGGTGGATGGATGGATGGATGGACAGACGGACGGGTGGATGGATGAGGGATAACAATTATCATCTCTGAGATGATATTATCTGTTTCACAGCCATGGAACAAAATTTAGTTCGAGAAGAGAACATCAATCAAACTTCAGCGGATGTCCGAATACGAAAATCACAGGTACCTGGAGCAAATGAAAATCAGTCTTGGCAAACCACCATCAAAGATGAAAGAGTCCCAGCTGGGGGAAGGGGTATTGTTTAGAAATTCCTTGGGTGAAGAAAGGAAACTCGTGACATGCCTTTTGTTTGGTTTCAAAGAGAAGGATGCAGAAGGGAATTGCAGGCTGCGTCTTGAATTTGCTTATCTTCTCACGAGGAAGGGCACTGTGAGCCATTTTTGCTTCCTCCACTTCTGCAGTGGCCAGCGTGCCATTGAAAAGGGTGGCTAGGCTCTGATTAAAAAGCAAACAATGGTCTTGCTGAATTGTCTAAACAAGAAGCCTTGTTGGATATAGGCCATCATTGACCTATTGTTATGGGGAAGACTAAAAACTAGAGTGGGTGCTGAAAGGCACTTATATAAATGAGATTGGTAGGTAGGTAGATTGGTAGGCAGGCAGGCAGGCAGGTAGGCAGGCAGAGAATAGACTTAGTCTTAGAATAACTTCATTGTCACTAAGCGGCATACATGAAAATGAAATTTGGAGCTCTTAAAGCAGGCGTCCCCAAACTGGGCAACTTGAAGACTTACGGATTTCAACTCTCGGAATTCTGGGAGTTGAAGTCCACAAGTCTTAAAATCGCCAAGTTTGGAGACCCCTGTCTTAAAGGGTCACCACCTCCAATATACATCACACAAACATGACAGATAAGTAAATAAATACAAAATTATGTATATGCCCACATATATGACAGAGAAAAAACACAGCCTAGTTCGGATGTATACATGTACGTGAGGAGAAAAAGGAATCTTGTGAGTTTATCAGACAATAAACACATTACGCAGTGGCTTAATGGTGACTTAATGTTAACACGGTGGCTCAATGGCTAAGGCGCTGAGCTTGTCGATCAGAAAGGTTGGCAGTTCAGCAGTTCGAATCCCTAGCGCCGCGTAACTGAGTGAGCTCTTGTCGCTTGTCCCAGATTCTGCCAACCTAGCAGTTCAAAAGCATGTAAAAAGTGCAAGTAGAAAAATAGGGACCCCTTTGGTGGGAAGGTAACAGCATTCCATGTGCCTTCAGCGTTTAGTCATGTGAGCCACATGACCACAGAGACATCTTGAGACAGTGCTGGCTCTTAGAAACGGAGGTGAGCACCACCCCCTAGAGGCAGAAATGACTAGCACGGATGTGCGAGGGGAACCTTTACCTTTTAAACATAGTTTTGAAGGTTTGGCTGTTGTTCCTCCCCTCCCTCTCTTTATCTTCATGAACAAGGGGGAGGCCAGTCATGTGTGAGACGTTTTCTCAGATTACATTTCTGTCCTGGACTGCGGTTTCCTTTATCCAGCTGTTGCCTTGGTAGAGGCTCTTTCTTCTGTTCCTCAAGGTCATTCCTTCTACCCATTGGATCCCTCCTTTCAATAAACACTTGCAACCCTGTGTCAGACTTCTCAGTTTCAGTAATGTCTGAAGCCTTTGCTACAAAACAGAACTCTCAAACTAATATGTGCAAAATCCCCTTTCCAGCATTCGGTGTTGACCCGGAAGTTTGTGGACGTGATGACGATGTATAACGGAACTCAAACCGTCTTCCGGGAACGTACGAAAGACCAGATACGGCGTCAGTTGGAAATAAGTGAGTGGTCCTTCCTTGCTCATTTTCTCCTACTCTGAAGAGCTGGCCCCATCTTGTCAATGCGTTATGGCATTGAAAAATATAATGCCAGGAAAAGCGGGATGATGACGTACCTTACAAAAACACTCTCGTCCTTTTTCGCTAGCTGGCAAAACCACCACGGACGAAGAACTGGAAGACATGTTGGAAAGCGGCAATCTTTCTATTTTCACTTCGGACGTACGTATTTCCAATCTGCATTTGTTGGCTTCCATGTTTCTTTATTGATTAGTTTATTGATTAGTTTGCTTTATTGATTAGCCCTTGGGCCCTTATCAAAGTGGCTTCGAGGCAGGTTTTATCTTTTGGGTCTCGAGGAGCAATATAAGCAAATTGAACTAAAACCCAAATGCCTACAAGTTCTCCTCTGTCGAAAGAAAATCAATAAGCGTACTTATTTTGTGTCACTTCCTTCCTCCGACCTCGCAAAGATCATTTTGGATACCAAACTGACCAGAGCAGCCCTTGATGAAATCGAGTCGCGTCATAAAGATATTATAAAACTGGAATCGAGCATACAGGAATTGCACGAAATGTTCATGGACATGGCGATGCTGGTGGAAGTTCAGGTGAGTCTTTAAATCCTGTAGTATATAACATGGGTGGTGCTTTGTAGGTAGAACTGTGCTGGAATAATGACTGTTGTTATTAAAAGACTGGCCTCGCCGTGCAGGAAATGGCCTTAGAATCCCAGAATACTAAGCAAATCTACTAGCTGGGTAGCTATGGAGATCACATGTAAAATAGGATATACTGGTTTGGCACCCTTCCCGGTTCTGTAGTCAGTAGAAAACAACAATAGCTGGTAATTTTAGTAAAAGACCTTGAATCATGGATGCAGTGGGCTCGTCACGTTTATGACGTTTGTGTCATTTGTGAAACATTGCAAAACATTTCTACCTATAGCTTATCTGACCTTATACCTTACCCTACCCTACCTTAATCAATCTATCTGTCTGTTTCATCTACCTCATCTATATATCATTCTATTATTCTACCATTCTATCTACATCTATATCTCGATCTCCTGCCTGCCTGCCTGCCTGCCTATCTATCTATCTATCTATCTATCTATCTATCTATCTATCTATCTA